TCTGATGAGAGTGAAGAAGCAATTGTTGCTGCTACGGCTTCATAGGGCTTCAGCCTCTGTCTTCATATCTTGAACATGGTTGTGCAGCTGAAGCCATTGCATTATCCTGTAGGCATTGAATTTTCTCAGAATTCTAGTTGCGCTAAATATTGGAAGATTTCCTTAGAGGAGAGATGGACAGATTGATGTGGTAACTAGTTAGAAGCAATCAATTTAAATAGGGGTTGACTTCTGACTGAATTTTTTCCAGTCCCCCTAAGGTTTTGTAGTTATCCATTAGCAGATTACGGATGTAATCAGCATTTGGTCAAGGCTTTTTTTTGCGTTGTAAACCACCAAACTGTCTGGAAAGTGGGAATAGTATTTATTTTAATTTATTTTATTTTCTTTATATTTTGTAAAGTTACATAAAATATTCATTTGCATTGTCTTCATTAATTGTTTCACATGGAGAACTTTGCGTGATTCCTGAAGTGTCTCAACTCTCAAGTGCTGTAAATTTCACTTAAAAAACTACATAGCATAAGACCAAAATAAAGTTAGTAACCTGATAGAACCGAAAGTAAAAAAGGAAAAGTTCTTGTGTTGTGTATGAACTAGGAAGGATTTGAAGCTTAATCGGAAAAGGTGAAAAGCGAAGTAACATATACGAAGTAATGAAGTATAATGATATTCTGTTCAAAATCAAGTCAATTATGATTAATTTAAAATTTAGGAGTAGTACACCTACTGTATAACTTTGTAATGTGATATTTTTAAACAACCAACCCTTTTATTTAAAGATGTAAATATGTAATTAATACCTGCTTCACAAACCAAAGTGTGAAATCTGTTGATGAATTGAAATTTTCAATTGAACTAGTTTAATTATAACCATGTAGAGGCAAATGGAAAAAGATCAAAATACTATTTGAAGAAAATCTATTGCCTACCGTGTGGGATTGGTTAAATTGTTCATTTTGTCTACAATTTATCTACATTTTCTTTCTATAGAAACATAGGATTCGACAATCGACATCCAATTCAGGTGGCCAGGTGTATGAACTCCAAAATAGGATTCTATGTTCATACCAAAATGTAGGTGGCCAGGTGTATGAACTCCAAAATAGGATTCTATGTTCATACCAAAATGTGGTACAGATAAATTGTCGAATCCTATGTTCATACCAATATCATAAGCCCAGGTGGCCAGGTGTATGAACTCACTCCCAAAAGATCATCCAATTAAGAGGAGATAACATCTTGCTTATAAGCCACCGGTCAAGCCCATACTTAACCGGTGTGGGATCGTTATCGTGTAAAGTGTATGTAAATTGCTTCCGAATTATTTGAATTGGGATTTGTGATTTGTTTGGATTTTTTCCATTGAAAGCAAACCGTGTCTTTGTTGTATGTAGGCTGTGCTTTGTATTATTGGATACAAAAAATAGCAAAAGTAACACCGTTGAGCAGCTATTTACACTTCACTTGTCATTTACCCAATTCAGTTATTCTTGTGGGTTCCAGTTGTTCTTAGCAAAAGTTAGTTGTTTGTCGCGGATCTGAAATCGTTAAAAAAGTAACTTAATAATTGCAACACGATTGTTATGGTTGTGGAAGCAAATAGGGATAGGCGATCAAAAAATTGAGAGAATTTTTAGTAGTCACGACTCTGAATGATTATGCATTGAGGTCCGCAAATTGTACCTGGATGGCCAAGTTTGTCCCAAGTAGGAAGATTAAGGTGCCCTTAATTTCTTTCTTAGAGCGGTAGGATTTGTTAATCTGTAACTATTTGTAATATGGTTGTTTGAGTTGTGGTTATAAGAGTGATCAATAATCAATAATAATATTATAAAGCTAAGATCTACCATTGTGAGACGTGAGTTTTCTATTTGTAGCATGAGCAAAGAGTTGATCATTCCCACAATTTAATTTAAGGAATTTGCCCAAAGGAGTAAAAACGTTTGTGAATTCCAAAATGTGATTACTAGCCAATAGCCACTAGGCTTTTGTTTCCTAAATATAAGTAATTACTACTGCGTCTAATTTTTCGCATTATCAAACTTTTAAAAATGACAGTGATTTTCAAATTTGATACTCAGTAGTAATTAGTACTCCCTCTGTCCCAATTAGGCCTGGACTCGGGCCGGGCGGCCCGACCCGGAACCGGCCCGGCCCGGCCACTGTAGCAACCGGCCCGGCCCGGCCACTGTAGCAACCGGCCCGGCCCGGTGGCCCGGTCCACCGGCGGTTCGGGTCGAACCGGCCCGGTGGTTCCCGGTTCCAGGCCCGGGCCTTCCATATGGTGAACCGGCCCGGCCGGTTCGGGCCCGGTCCGGGCCGGATTTTAATTTTTTTTTTTTTGAAATTTTTTTTAAGTCTTGGGTTGGAATAGTTATTTTGGGTCATTTGAGGTGGTTTGGGGTGGTTTGGGGTTGAGGGGGAGGGGATTAAATAGGAGAACAAAAAAAAAAAATTGGACCGGTTAGGCCCGGCCCGGTTAGGCCCGGAACCGGAACCGGAACCGGCCACCGGCGGTTCGGGCTCGGGCCTCCCCTTTCCTGGCCCGAGGCCCGAACCGGGCCCGAACCGGCCCGAGTCCAGCACTAGTCCCAATTTGATGGTCTTTCTTTCTTTTGGGCACAAAGATTAAGAAAGTGTGGTAGAAAGACTAAATAACCTTACTTTATTATATTGTTCATCCTTTTACTTTTACTGTTCATTAAAGAGGGTGGTTATAAATGGTAATTCACTTTTAGTTCTTTACCAAAAAAGGAAACAAGACCATCATTTTGGGACATCCCAAAAAGGAAATACAGGACCATCATTTTGGGACGTAGGGAGTAATGTTTAAGGAATACAAAAATAACATTCTTTAATTTTGGAATTACAAAACGTTTTACTCATATTTTGGATATTCTCTCCTTATCGTTATTTGAACTCTTAACGATGTGCAATCACGGTCAAGGACTATCATTTCCACAGTTGGATTCTCGTCGATAATTGTTTTATTGTATTTCTAATTTTTACCAATATTTGATTCATTGGTGTTTTCATCATTTAGCATGTGATCTACAAACTCACTTGCATGATATGCATTGCCCTTTTTATTATCTTAAAATTAGCTACTGCCGTTTAGTTTGTTTTGTTAGTCATTTAAAGGTTTTATGTCTATCTGGTGACTGAGGTGTGCCTCAAGGTGGACCCGGTCCAGTTCCCATTCCAATTAATATGAGAACCTGAACTGATTGGATCACTTGTGATCTGAATTCTGAAACCAGAAAAACAGCCCCCACTGGTCAGTTTTTTACCCGCAAGGTTCTACTCCACAGAACCAAAACCAGGTCCACCCTCTTAGCCTCTTAGGTATGCTTAGTCATGGACTTGGGCCGGGTCGGGTCCAGGGCGGGCCTAGGCCCGGTCGGGCTTTTGATTTTTGGTAGAAGGCCCGGGACCAGCTCGGGTTACCACCGGGTCGGGCCGGTCTAGGGGCAGAGCGAGAGCACTGGGCCGCACTGGGTCGATACAAAGAATATTTTCGAGAAAAAATTTATACCAGAATTTTTTACATTGAAAATTAAGGTATTTTTAAAATTTGGGGTGAGCCAGGGCCTAGGTTGGTCCACCCCTAGCTCCGCCCATGGGCCGGTCCATGTCTTTTTCTTTTCTTATTAACCCACGACCCCCCCTTCCCTAGCCCCCAAACCCCCCTAAAACACCCAACCCAACTAAGGATGGCAATGGGGGCGGGGGCCCGTGGGGGGGAGTTGGGGCGGGTGGTGGGGTGGGGGATATATTTTCTCCCCGCATAAATATGGGGCGGGTGATGGGTTATGCACCCCCGCACCGTCCCCGCCCCGTCCCCCGTAATAATTAATAATAATAATCTCAATAATAATACTAATAATAATAGTAATACTAATACGAAGTAATTAAAATAGCATGGTGGCCCGGTGGGTTTAGTGATTTCCTATCTAATGGATTGTGCCTAATGAGTCTATCTAATTCTTGTTTAATAACTAAGCTATCTTGTAAAATTGCTTATCAAAATCATAAAGTAAAATGATTTTTTTAGGGATAAATTAAAATGAATTTGGGAAAGTTATAAAGTGATATTAGCTTAAACGCCCAAAGCACGGTGTGAAAGTTTTTTTCCTTTACTATTACAATGCATTAATTCTTTTCTTTTGAATGTCATCTTTATGATTGTAGTTAGGGCTCTTAAAATTTGGTGATCATAGGTCGTCCTAGATGCCGTCAAATGACCATGATTGATTGAATGCAGGGTTCAAGAAAATATTATAGAGCCAATCAATGCTAATTTAGAGTTTGATAAAAATGACTAAATTAGAACGCGTATGATGTGCTCTAGATTTGAAATGGGATGTAAGATTACATTGACACTTAAAAAGTAAAAGTTTTTTTTGGCTACTAGAAGTGTTGTTTAATTTTTGAAAAATTGTCAGAGTCTAAAATGATGTTGATTTTTGACTAGTACTTCCCCCGTTGGGTACCCGTGGGTCTAGCGGGTCGGGGCGGGGGATTGGGCGGGTCGAATAGTAGTGGGGGATGGGGCTGGGGTGGGGGAGATTTTTTAGACACGGGGCGGGGATGAGGGAGTGAACCCCCACCCCAACCCCGCCCCATTGCCATCCCTAAGCCCAACTCAGGAAAAAGCCCAAAACAATGAAAAAACCAAAAAAAAAAAAAGGAAGACCCGAACCGGGCCTGCCCGGGCCGGTTCCAAAGAAGGGGGTGAACCAGGACCGCCCCATTCTAATTTCTAATCCCCGGGACCGGGCCTAGGCCCGGAACCAAAACCGGTTCACCAGGCCGGGCCCGTACAGTAGCGGGCCGGGTCGGGCCCGTGGCCCCGTACAGTAGCGGGCCGGGTCAGTTCCCGAGTTGGGCGGCCCGAACCGGGTCCAACACTAGGTATGCTCATGGGCATACTTACATAATATTTTTGTTGCTTTACGTATATATAGTTGATCCAAAGAAAAAGGGAAAAAAGAGTATAGCCCACTAGCCCAGCTGTGTTCCATTGACTTGGGTGCAATTACTGGATTTACTCATTTACTGCAATGAAAATATCAAAACGCTTGTACATATCTCTACATTTCAGATCTCATATACAAGTACAATTGTATAAATGAATAAATAATTCCTAAGGTACATCAAAACGCTTGTAAAGTCATCAAGCTTTGTTCTATTACTCATGAAGATCTAAGGTATATCACTATATCCATCCATACATCTCGAGTGGTTGGCCTTCGTAAATAGTCAGACATCTGGGAGCGCCGTCAATCACTGGTTCACAACTCACAAGGCATAATGCACCTGGGGGTACATCAGCCATTCTGCGTGATAATAACAGACATGTCATCCTCAGCGTTTCTTTGACTTCCGTCGCTTACAAAGAAGTTTCAGCATGTTGTCAGTAACGTCTGGTGGGGAGTTGTTGTCTTCAACGTTTTTATCATTAGTGTGAGTTAACCATGCCAATGCCTCAATTGCAGCATCTTTCTCAGCTAGAGCTTTGTTTCTCTTTGGTTTTCCCACAAACTGCATTCCTTTGAACTCCACAAGTGCCCTAAACTCATTTGTCTTGAGATGCTTTGTTTTATACTTCGGAGGATGGTGGCCCGCTCTCATCAGGAGAGTTTGCAATAAGCTTTTGGGGTTTGTCCCATCCCTTGTAAACCTGTCATCATTACTAGACTCCTTAGGCTTCTTGCTCTCCCGGCCAAAAACAAACCGTCCTTCACATTGATCACCTGATACCAGTTCCTGAACAGCAAGCATGAGGTATCTACCTTCCTTGTGCATGTCCTTCTCTGGATCCTCTAGCTGCATTATTTGAAATTCATGGTATATAATCAGAACTAACTCATCCTGAAAAGATCTTTAGAATTGAGGTTTGTCTCACACTTCATACTGGATATAGATCGTGAAAATATCCAATATGTGACACTTGATACGCCCTCTCAACCAAAATCAAACTAAACAGCTTGAGGGTAAACAAGCGGGTCACCCAAACATGCTACTCCAAACCATGGTTGCTAAGCAAACAAATAAACAAACCTCAATCGAGTCAAACTCTGATATGGTTTTAAATTAGGCCCAACTAGCCACAAAAGGATCCATCTAAAGGTGACATTTACCACACACTAATATATTAAATATAGATACAGTATCAGATGTCGGACACTTAACAAATGGAGCTCAGAATAAGTGAAGCTAATGTGAATGTCACCCAACTCCAACTTTTATAAATAAAAAGATGACTAAATATACATACATCACAACACGGTTGGGCCTTTCCTTCTATAGATACAAGTATACAACCAACTACCAATTACTGTCGTGGCATTGTTATAGTAGAGGGACCATTGGAGTACTAACCTATTTTTGGGATGGGTCCTAAATACATATATGCAACTCTGATAGCCATATGAATTTACATGTAATCCTACTTTGACTAAACATTGGACAATTGGCCAACCAGCCCTATCCCAAATTTGTTGTTGCTGATTTCTACCCCCCCCCCCCCCAAAAAAAAAAAAAAAAAAACTATTTTTATCTGCTTTTATTGAGTTTTATTTGCACTATATCAATGCAAACTTTATACAACTAGAACCTCTAGTATTTTTTAACCATATTTTAATCCCAACTTCCCCGTGGTTTAAGACCTTACTTACCAATTTTTTTAGCTGTGTTATCTACACATGTAACTTTACTCCACCTCACTTATCAAAGAAAACATGTTTCATAGAAATACCTTCTTTTGCAAAAGATCATCAAGCTGCTCTTTGAGGTTCATGTAACATGCAGCCAAGCTGGGATCCATGAAGAATTCTAGATAACCATCCAACATTTTCAAGTGGCCAGCCTATGACAGGAATCACATTTAATAGGAAAATATACAGTCCATTAGCAATGCATTACCTATTTACTTTCATTAATTATCAGATAAAAAATCATGTTTGTGGTAGGGAAAGTATTACCGTAGTGCCGAAGTTAAGACTACCCCCAAAAAGGATCAAAATAGAATCAGACACTCCAGTAGAATCACGTATGAAAACGGTATTGACCTTCACCTTTTCACCAAACACTAACCACGGGTATGGAATTGTTTGATAACGTGCATTCACAGAGTTCTGAAATAAAATTATTGAATATAAAACATCTAACTTGATAGAAACTTTTTTGAAGCAATGCATAGAGCTCAAAGATGAAACTCTCAATTCTGTGAATATTGGTCTTCCTTGAGACCTTAACTAATCAACAAAACCATTTTATTCTCTTGCAACTGAAGTCTAGGCCTGTGATAAATATTTTAGTATGTGAGAAGTTGAAAATGGATAGGAAACTGGGTCATATTGTAGTATGGTAGGAAATTGATTAAGCTAATTTCTGGATACACTTTGCTAAACACGAGATACAACTATTAAAAATAGTAAGGACGCCACACATGGAGCAGTTATTCAGCAACAGTACTGCTAAATGCTAATTGTAAATTATGTATTTCATTTTTAGAATAATGTCACAGGTATATTTTTATTATTATAATGATTATGATTATTATAGTTGACTATAAATAAAATAGATGGTTGAAAATAAATATGTGCTCATGTACTTCACTGAGCCACTGTGTAAAGAACTCTCCACATTTCCAACAGGCCAACAGCTTTGGCTTCTTACAGTTGGATCAATGAGACACACAGATTGGCTGGCAAAGATTTCCACATACTGTATTATATTTATTACAAATAAATATATTTATTCGGCATCTAGGTATCTCATAGACTATAAATCTAGGCTCATGCAATGATCTTTCTCTAATCAGTGAGTCCAACTGTTAAAATCAGACTCAAATTATATTTTAACATCTAAAGCAATTAGCTAGCGGTGGTTCTGTGCCACCAAGCACACATTTCAACTCATTATTATTTACTAAAAGAGACAGAGAATTTCCTATCAATGGAGCACATGTTCTGGATTAAATAATATAAACAAAAGAAAAATGTTAACGTTATTGATTGAAAACTTGAATGCAACAACATCAAAGCCCTAGTCCCAAAAGAGTTTGAGGTCGGCATGTAAAACTTGAATGTGAGAGAGAAAAATTGATAATAGGTCAAATAACAATCTATGATTTTTCGTACTTGTATTCAATGAAGGTTATTTATCCAAGACTATTGCAATCAAACAATCAAGGTTTTCACATGTTTGGCACAAGATTATGGAGTAGGAACTGTGCAAACTCCTCATTTCATTAATTAGGTAAAAAAAAGTCTACAAGTTATAGTTGTTATGATGCATAATCACATAGGTTTGTGAAACCTGTAGTATATTAAACCGCAAAACCTTGTACTTACGGCATAAAGTAAAACTTGACCATCATCCATTGTCTTGAAAGACATTGACGTCTCTCTGTGCTGCATATGGACAGGAAATGAAACTCATTTTTTTTATAAATTAAAGAATAAGAGTACCACAAAATGTCAGAGTAGAGAATGCCTTACAACTACAGAAGAAATTCCAGGATATAAACCAGAGCATATGACAGCACGTACTAATGATTGGTTGTGACTTAGCTTATTATTAGCCGCAGTTTCTTCTTCAAGCAGTCTGGCATCTTTCAAGATGAAGGAAAACTGCTTGCGAAGGGAATGAATGGCTTGAAGTGTTTGAGCAGAAAGAAAGTTTCTCCAGCAATATTCATATGCAGATCCTTCTCTTTCAGCATCTTTCCATCCTTCATAAGCACGGACAAGAGCCATGTGATCACTATAGTCCTTTGCTGAGAACCTAGACTTTGCTGTCCCAGCTAACTGCATCATAGGAGAAAAATGTAACTAATAAAAAAATAGTCAACTTGGATCCTGTAGATGCATAAATATTAGAAGAAGTTTTAAAATTTTATAAACAAGAAAACAAAAGCAATGAATAATTGCTCGTCTAATTGTAAGACATAAAGCGGTAGACTTACGTCCTTCTTATCCTGAGGCAAAAGAAAAGGATCCCTGACGCTAAGGCCAGCAACAATGGTCAATATGGGGTCGAAGCAACATAAAATAGCACCCATAACTAGCATTTTTCCGAGCTTAGGATCCACTGGAAGCACTGACAAATATTTACCTGATTGAAAATATGAATCAGTATATGCTTGAGCAGATGCGAAAAAAATATAAATCATGCGATAGAATACAAAAATACTTTTTATTGATATGACTTTTAACTAAAAACTCCATAATTTCTAAACCCTTGAAATGTTTCTATAGAAAAATAGTGGACCTAAACTCAATAGGAACATGAAACCCTGGGTTTTCTAAACCTACTATTTTTGAATTTCTATACGTCTATATTTTATATTTCTATATTCGAACACATAATCAAGCTTAAGCAGGTGGAAAATGCTTCAAGCTTGTGAAACTAGAAACATAAATTTCAGTTCGGCTTAAATTTGACTGGAAAAACTTGATATTTGATCTCAACCTGAAATTCCAGGCCCAAATTCTACACCTGATGAAACTTGACATGAGGGTCGCTGCAAGCAAAAAAACAGAGCAGGACATTTTTGCAGACAGATGCTGAGAATCAGCCTCCAAGAGTTGGGACCAGAGGCATGTGGCCAGAGCTCGGACAAAGGTGGTGCACATTCGAATATTCAACGATGGATGCCGGAAGTTTTTCAATTCCAGGTTTGGTTTGGTTATGTCAAGAAATGGTCGGGGATGCTTCAAAAGAAGGGAGGAGTTTGTGTGTTACTGTTCATGATGAAGGAAAACATTAACTAGGTTTTTGTGGAATATTTTAAGAATACAGCTCCAATACTGTGTTAAATAAAATAATACTTTGTTATACTCCTTAAGTTTTTCATTTTTTGGGAAGTTTTTATTAATTACTCAATGTCCTAATTTGGGAAGTTTTACCTTATACGCTTACTTTTGTATAAATACCCTTAATTTTCATTGTCTCTTACTTTTTCATCCTCTCTTGTACTACTCACAACCCCTACTGTTTTCTATCTTAAAATCTGTAAAAACCCTACTTGAACAATGAGTTAAAACAGAGGGAGTATAACTTTCTTAACTTAATAATTCACATTCATCAATTCCTTAAGACTATTACAGTATTTAAGTAGAGAAAAATTGGACTTGGACCCAATAAGATTGTGAAATCATAGGGTTAAATATCTATACTTCTACACTCCAAATGTTAACTCAACACCATTGATAATGTAATACCGAGATGCGTAAGATTTTCATGTTCATCTAATGCCCCAATCATCTTCAAAAAGTCAATAGCATTTTGCACCTGCAACAGATTGCAGCAACAATTATATACTAAAAGAACTAAAAATGAATGTATTCAGCGACAAGTTGAGAAATAAAGCCAGAAGAATGAAATCTAGGTGCTAGATTACCAACAACAACAACAACAACAACAACAACAAAATACTCTAAAACATTTAAAAACATGGCAGAATTGTGTGAATAAACTCTGACAATTTCCAGCTTTGTAACGTCATATATGCCATATAAATAGGTTAAATGCCCAAAACTCAAAATGGAAGCTATTATTAAAAGGAAATGGATGATAGAGACTCCAAATTCATAACAGTAAATCTTCGTCTATTATGAAGGAAAAATGCAAAAACTGAAAAGGAAAATACATATGAGGCAACTTTGAGGGTGCCTCTTCTCTCCCAGTCCTATTCCAAGCCCAATTTCTGCCAACCTTATTCTCCTCTCCTCACTCATTTATTCTTTTCCTTATGCGCCAGCCCACTTCTACTTAGTTACGGGGCCCAGACCCCTTATTATACACTATTAAAAGACTTAATATTATTCTTAACTATCTAGGTCCCTATCATCGGATGACAATGGGTTGGGGAAAAAAGGGGGGCTTAAGCTAGTCCATCATCATCATCATTACCCCAGTGCCGCAAAAGCTCCCACCTACGGTGAGGTAAGGGGGGGTTGGATACTCGGATGTACGCAGTCTTACCCCTGCACTAGAGCACAGAGAGACTGTTTCCGGTTGACCCATAGAGAAAAACGCGCCGAAAATTGCATGGACCGACTGCTGCTTCGTAATAAAGAAGCGCAGACAGTTCAGTGAACCATTTTGCTTTGTTCCATCATATTCCCAAGCCAAAAAATAGTGAGTCTTTGGCTCCATAGCAAATGATGGAAAAAGCTTAAGCTAGTCCATGTCCTTCAAAATAAAAAAGAAGCTACTAAAAGGGAATGTAAGAAAATGGGTTGGGTAAAAAAACATGGGACTTTTTGTGAACAGAAAAAACATGGGGACTTTAGATTCATCAATGTACTCTAATAAGAATTAACATGGTTATTCATGACCTAGATCTTCTGTCCATCACATTGCTGAAAACAATGTTCTAAATATGAAGAGAACAAAACCCACAATATGAAAAGGGATATTTCTGGAAAATTTTCCCCGGGAATTGAAATTTAAAAGGGAATGGGTCTACATCAGGTGAGGAAGATACTCACTCACAATCAATTTCATTGCCCCTGAAGTACAAACAACATCCAAAGTTTAAAATAAAACGAGAGAATATGAATAATATTAGAAGAGTTTATTGATAATTATTTGCAATATAGCATTGGAAACATGTCACAACTAACTTATATAGAAGAGTGAATGCTTACAGCCAATGCCTCTGGTGGTTGAAGAGCCGCAGACAAAAATTCAGTAATACTTCCAACTTGTAAACTTTTTATTTGCAGACAAAGTGAATTTAGAGGAGTTCTTAGAAGTTCAGGTAATTGATACTCGGCAAAAGCTTCATAAACACAATGTGGATATAAGTGGTAGCACTCACCAGGCTGCACACGACCAGCCCTGCCCCTTCTCTGAAAATTCATATGCAAAGAAAGATTTTTATTCAGCCTTATGTATTTGAGGATAACTTGGTGGAAACCTAAGTCGACTAAAAGGTTCAAATGCCCATGTCATTAAAATAATAACAAAAATGTAAAGCGTTGGCCACTTATGGTTAGATAAGCAGCCATAATACAGATGTAGGAAACTAGGCCTGAAGAAAAAAATGATACCAAAATCAATTAAAATGCTTCACCTATATGATCATGCTTACAACAGTTACCAGATCTTGAGATGACAGCATCGCTGCTGATGGTGTTAGTACTTAGTACCTCCAGTCCAACATATACCAGGGGTTACACGGGTCAGGTATGTGCAGAACATCTAGAATGAGTCCCGAGACAGAATGTTGGTCAGTTCTACTTATAGGTTGTACACCACCTTACCTTCTTTTGTTTTTAATCAGGAGTATCCAACCATCATCGGGTGGCCGGGGTGGGATAAGAGTCCGGCAACAACTTAGCTTCTTCTATAACAACTTACATATCAATATAGTTAACTACGAAGTATCATACATGGAAATTCTAATCACAACTTGGAAGCTTTGAGCCATAAAACATGTTTGGAATGTACGGCACCACTACTGCTCTATTTATAACCTGATCTTTTGCTAGAACCCTACCACCTGAGGTATCTCATTGGTACAGGGAAATAGAGCCCTGGTCTACTAACATGAGCCAACCCATATAGTGAAGCTAATACAGTGACCCATTACAATTCTTTTTTCCCACTTTTTGGGTGATGATTAGATAAACAAAAAGGGAACAAAGGACAAGCTGTTTTTCAAAACTAAGCATAAAGCAAATTGTATGCGACTACATGTAGCAGGTCAATGATCTAAAACCATTTCATTTTACCTTTCATGGGAAACATGGGGATAATCTAAAGTGGATACTGGAGCATCATGTATAAGATGGTGCTTAAACAGACTTGAAATCTGTAAGACGACTTTCTGATCACAATAACAAAGGGAGAAAATGATTACCTGTCTAGCAGAGGCTTGAGATATCCATGAAGGTAGTAAGCAAGGAGTATTATTTAGTGCATCATAAGTTGTCTCCTTTGCTTTTCCACAATCAACTACGAACACTACATCATTGATAGTAATACTTGCCTCAGCCATATTTGTAGCAAGTACAATTTTCCGAACATTTTGAGGAGGCCTCTCAAATATGAGTTTCTGTTGGTAAACAACTACTATAATAAACCACACGGCAATGGAGTGCATTGTTCTAGGGAATCTGTGACATGCGTATAAAAACCCAAGAATTGGATAAACATGAAGTGCAAATAAGTCCAAGGTAAATTATTAGGAATTATCAATGTACTATTTTCCAATTATTTCAAGATGGCCACTAAAATATGATTTTTGTTGGTAACAATTATAATCACTACAAAATCATTACAGAATCATACCCCCCCCCCCCCTACAAACGAGTAATTAGTAATAATCCATAACTGGGTGCAGATGCAAACAGAAACATAATTTTCTGGAAAGAATGAATTGAAATTTTATATGTGAAGTGAATGGGTCATTGTCAAAATCAACTTCCTTTTATCAAAAAGTCCATATATCATTCCTATTATCATGAACAATCAGTATAGCACTATAGCAACAATCAAACTAAAAAGTATGGAACCTCATGCAATATTCTCTTCACTGTGATGAGAAAACAAACCCAAAATTGTAAGGAATGTGGACCAATCTTACCTGCTCTGAAGTTGCCATTGAACCATGACATGTAAGCACCAACACCCTATTGGGGTCGCCCAACAGAGGATGAGCCTTAAGCTGTCCCCTCAAACAGCTAATATCTTCCCACCCAGTCATAAATACTAAAACAGCTCCTGGTCTTTCCTTACGACATATATGACATAAGACAGCCTCAATAAGATTAAATCCTACAGAATCAGGAGACCAGGATGCCAGGGAATCCCGTGCCCTCGCACTATAGCTTTCAAAGTTCGATCGGCTTAGCGCATCCTGAGATATGAAACAAATGAGTAAGCATACTTTAGGTCTTTATTTGCAAGCAATGTACCTTTCAAATTTAGAGAGAAAGATGCAAGGTTGCATTGGAAAGCAGCAGCATAAATATTTGGTAAATGTAGAAGATTGTGAAGGATATAAATGAACGTGAAAAATGTTTATCTGATTTCAACAGTGCAAGAAGAAAGTACAGAAGGCAAAATATTAAATAATAAAAAAATATTATAAATAAAAATGGAAAGTATGTTTTGGTGCCTACCCACCTCAACAAGCGCAGTAATCTGGTTTTTCTTTTTCCGGGGCGCTAGCTGTTTTTGTGTTTTCCACATCTTATCTTGGCCATAGTCATCAATTTGGTTGAATGACGTCAGCTTATACCCGGTCACTTCCAATACATCTTCAAGAAAATGTACTCTTACAGGGTATGTGAAGCCCTACAATTTGTGCATGCCCCATTAGCACAAACCATCTATGCATGCTCTGTTTTCCAACAGGGTTCTACATTCTATAACCTTGGAATAAAATAAATCGGAAACAAATACACTATCCTTGAAGTCTGAGGCCAATAATTGTTGTACATATAGAAGTCAATGGGTGTAAATTGAAAAAAATACCAAATATTCAAGTACAGTTAGGAATCCATGAGAGCATACTAAAGGTCACGTATTCACCATGTGTACAGAATAGTTATATAAGACAAGCTTATGGGTGCATGTTGGAAGTTTACTTGTAAATAGCAGTCCAATATAATAGTTACTTTAAATAAATAAATAACTTATAATCATAATTATTTACATGGCATAGAAGCCAAGTTCAAGAAAAGCCCTAGCTGCTTTCTTCCACTAAAAATGTTCCTCTTTTTACTGCATCAGTACTACTACTGTTAGCAGCTTCTATTCCATTCCCATTACTGATTCCATACAGGACCGCCTCTATAGATGATAGTGCTAGACGGAATTGTAAATTTTTATTAATTTTAGCTTATTAATAAATGCTAATAGGCTGGTTGGAATTGCTCACTAATTGTTGTTTTGCTTGTGGTATCTGTTGTCTGTGTGCTATGGAAAATACTGAAGGAGAACATTTCCAACCCTCCTTTTTAACAAGTAAATTTGTCATCAGTAAAAAGTAAACCAGCTGCAACTTTCCACTGCCTTCTACAGTCCGAAATCTTGGATGATTGATTTAGGTGTCTCAGATTACATTATGGGTGCCAAGATAACATTTGGACTCGGGTTTTCATAGAATTGCTAAGAAATCAAATCGCTGATTATTTTCATCACAAAGAATGAGCTCATCTCATTTTGAGAAATTCAAGACTCCTAAAATATAGTAGCAAACTACTCATTCCAACAGAGCCTACATAAAAAGTTCTCCACTTATTATTGGAATATCTGAGAAAGCAAAAGCCAAATGCAATAAACAACCCCAGTGTGAATGTGAGGCTGCAAACATGGCTGCAAGATGGAACCCTAACCATAGCTTGGGTTCAAGAATTTTGAACTACATTGACCTTTTGTTCATGCTCTCATTGTGTGTGGATGTGATGTAATTCTAAAAATTCATATATTCTCATCCAGTTGATTGCCCAAAAATAAAGAACAGATCTTCATAAAGCTCTCATTTCCCATGCTTTACATGTCAAACAACATATTTTATGTACAGCAATGTATGTCAGGGAGGTAGTTAACTTCCAAATAATAGAATCATGCAATACTTAATATAAATCAACAACTCCCCCTCCCCCCTCTCTTTTTTGTATTAGCATATGCTGTATTACATCTGAGACAGAATGAACGGCAACTAATAATTTATGTAAGGACAAAAAGCATACTGGAATGTGAATAGTAGGTGCTCCACCAAAATAACTAGAAAAAAGATCAGCATTAAGAGTAGCACTCATTAAAATCAGTCTTAAATCTCGACGCCGAGCAAGAAGGTCCTTCAACACAATCAGTAAAAAATCTGCAAAGACGAAAAATAACACCACAACAGAATCAAATTAAATACTTGTTCTCTTGAAAAAGAAAGATGTGACCAGATATGTTAATGACTTAATGTATTACCTTCATTCATACCACGCTCATGAATCTCATCAACAAAGATGTGGGTAATACCATCAAGATTGCGGTCACTTAAAAGCCTCCGTAGCAAAATACCACTAGTGCAAAAGAGAAGATGTGTATTTTTTCCTTTCACCCCCTCCAGTCGCACTTTATAACCAACCTGTCAAAAAAACGGTGAAAGAAAAGCAATGAAATAATAAAAAAAACTGCCGAATTGGAAGTAAATAAGCCAGCTAAAAAATATCGGACAATCCAAAGCACTTTGTTTCACAAAAAGAGAACTGTCATTCTATATCGAAGAACTTTAAAAAGGGAAGTGGCGTACTGATTCTCCAAGAAGTTCACCCCTCTCCGTAGCCACTCTTTCTGCAACTGCCATTGCAGATATTCTTCGAGGCTGTGTACAAATTATGCTACAGAATGCACCACGACCAGATTCAATTTCAGATTCCAAAATGTACTGAGGGAGTTGGGTAGTCTTACCGCATCCAGTTTCACCAGAAATGACCACAACCTGTGTAAGTATAGATAAATTATAGGTTCTGGTAAGGAAGTAAATATTTATACTTGAGATGATATAATTTATCATTGTTACAATTTCGAATAAGCACATTTTTTAGTAAATTCATATTCAAGAATTAATGCATCTTTTTCCTTTATCACGTTAACAGCAAGGTTAGGTGACTTTATTTTAAATAATAATTAACGTACAACCATATGACGAGCACATGGGTGACATGGCCCTACACTTGATCCTCAACCTTCTTTATGTTCTAGATTTTACTTGGGTGTGCTCACTGTCGTTAAAAAACACTCCTATTCAAGCAAATGTAGTCACATAAGCCTTTTCTTGCAATCAACTGAATCAAGTACTTCTTCTACTAAATGAACAGTTAGATGATCTTCTCATCGGCTTGAAGTTGGAACTTGGAAGACTCTTTAACTTCAGAGAAACTGATGAAGTCAATAATATAGTACCCTGCACTCCCCTCCCACGCAGGGAAAAAATGCCCTAACTCAACAGATTTTCTTAAATCAAATACTATGTATTTAAAGTTCCCTTTTCCTTAAATTGATATCAATGATAGATAAAAAGAACACTGCATTCGTGACAGGCAAAAATGAGCTGTACAATGTTTATGTCATTAATGGTTAACTCATCAAGGCATCAACCACAGTTTTCCTAAATCCATCTTCGAGTGGGAGATATTTTGTAGGCTGGGGGAGTGGTAGACAAAGACTATCCTCCATTCCAAACAGAAGCTGTTACAGAATGAAATAAAAAGCTTCAGAAGTTTCTGTTATGGGCGAGGTGGCCGATAGGGACCTAGATACTACTAGTAATAAGAATAATATTAAGTATTGGATATTGTACAATAAAAGAGTCCTAGGCCCAATAACTTAGGGCTGAGGGACGGCCCTTTAGGAGAGTATTATAATACAGAGTGGGTAAGAGGAAAAAGGTAGGCAGAACTTGGGACTTGGGCTGGGATTTTGGGAGAGACAGGCTGCACTAAGTGCCTTATCCTGTATTGTTTCATTTCAGTTTCTTCATTTACGTTCTTAATAGACAACAATTTCCCTCTTTCGATTCTGGTTCCTATCAGTGGCAATAGAGCAGAAGTCATAATAGTAGTATTAGTATTAGTTTCATGTTAGCAGTATTCATAATAGCTGAACTTTCTAATAGCAGTATTGTATTAGATATATAGAATAGGACTTTATTTACTTGATCATCAAGACTCTTGTGAAGGGTATCAATAGGGGTTTAACCTAATTAATTAATAATATATACAATTCCAGGCTTGATAGTGTATGAACTTAACAAGATTAAGTCTTCAAGTTTCCTTCAGGGAAAATAATGTTTTTCAAATTGAGTCTTTCTGGTCTACTGTAAGAATAACACCAGCATTAAAGCAAGTACCAAACATGATAGAGTTTAGAAAGATAGTTAGAAGCTAACAGAATTATCTCTTATTCATAACAGTGTACGGGTACAAGTATTTATAGAGTTGTTAAGTCAACAGACTTCTTAACAACCTGAACACTAGCTGGTAGTATATAATAGACTATATCAACTCAGAACTTCTAGTCTATTACAAAGATATATGTCTAACATTCCCCCCTCAAAACTAGGGTGATTGTTTTAAAAGCTCAATGACACTAAGTTTTGGTTTTAATTCAAGGAATCTGGAGCTTGAAAGTGGCTTGGTTAGAGTGTCAGCAATCTGATAAGGAGAAGGAATGTGGCAGACTTCAAGTTGCTTCAGAAGAACTTTCTCCCTGATAAGGTCAATTTCCATATGTTTGATTCTTGAGTGCAAAACAGGATTGTGGGCTAGCTGAACTGTGCTGAGGTTATCACAGTATACTTTGGGAATAGAAAAAGACACCTGAAGTTCTCTTAGAAGAAACTGAATCCATAGGAGTTCTGCTGTAGTGTCTGCAAGACTCCTATATTCTGCTTCAGTAGATGATCTTGCCACTCTGAGCTGTTTTCTTGACCACCATGAAACAATATTGGTTCCAAGAAATATACAAGAACCAGAAGTGGATTTTCTATCATTTGGATCAGATGCCCAGTCAGCATCACAGTAAGCTAGGATAGGCAAAGGCATTGCAGATAAAGGAATTGGTCTGATGATGATACCATGATTGACTGCCAGAGAGATATCTAAGAATATGCTTCACTGCCTGCCAATGGTCCTGCAATGGTTCAGCCATAAATTGGCAGACTTTGTTGACAGCATAACAAATGTCTGGTCTAGTTAAAGTGGCATACTGCAAGGCACCAACAATAGATCTGTACCGAGAGGGATTTGGAAGAGTATCACTGCCTTGCTTCTGAAGTTTGCAGGTGCTTACCATAGGTGACTTAACTCCTTTAGAGTCAAGCATATCAGCTTGATTTAGTACATCTCTAATGTACTTACTCTGAGAAAGATGAAGACTTCCATCAGGAAGTTTATGTGCCTCAATTCCTGAAAAGATATCAAGGTCTCCCAAAATTCTTCAAAGAAAAGGCTGAGTGAAGTTTCTGAATCAGTTTCTTGATAGCAGTGGAGCTGTTTCCAATGACCAATATATCATCAACATAGATAAGGATGTAAATTTTGGTCTCAGGAGTGAGATAAATGAGTAGAGAGGGATCAGATTTGCTTTGTTTGAAGCCAGCAGTGTAGAGAACTCAGTGTAGAGAACTGAGGTGAGCTTGTGAAACCATATAATGACTTGTGAAGTTTGCAAACTAGAGAAGTATCCTCAGCTTGAAATCCTGGCGGTTGCACCATGTAAACCTCCTCATCCAGTTCCCCATTCAAGAAGGCATTGTTGACATATAATTGTTGGATGGGCCAATTGTTTGAAACAGCAAGAGTTAGCAGGATTCTGATAGTCACAGGCTTCACCACTGGAGAAAAGGTTTCTCCAAAATCAAATCCAAACCTCTGATGGAAACCCTTAGCCACCAACCTAGCTTTATATTTGTTAAGGGTTCCATCAGGATTTTCTTTGACCTTGAAAACCCATTTGCACCCAATGGCTTGTTTTCCTGGAGGCAAAGAAACAAGAGACCAGGTTCTGTTACCAAGTAAAGCATTGTATTCAGTTTGCATAGCCTCAAGCCACTGAGGAGAAGAGAGAGCCTATTTAACTGACTTAGGCTCAATATGAGTTAACAGTAAGGTAGGATGAAGTCTTGGTTTTACTATTCCTGACTTAGCCCTTGTCCTCATAGGATGTGTGTTAGTCAAAGGAACAAGAGGAACTGAAGATGTGGAGGAAGGAGATTGTTCATGATTACTAGGCTGAGATTGAGAAAGGGAATTATGAGGAAGATCAGAATTGGGTTGAGTTAGAGATGAAGTATCAGTAGAATCAAATTGATTAGACTGATATTGTTTATTGGATGAAGATGAAGATTGTTCTTGGGAAGAATTTTGAGATTGATGGTGAGAGGGAACTGACTCATCAGAGGAGAAGGAAGAATTATTGGAAGAGTGAGAAGAAGACTGAATACTTATGGGAACAGAAAGAGGATAGGAGTTAGTAGGGGAAGAGGATGATTTGGATGAAAATAGAGTGGGATAGGGAAATTTTGATTCTTGGAAAACAACATCCCTAGAGATATAGATCTTTCCAGATGGTGAGAGACACTTGTAGCCTTTGTGACTGGATGAGTACCCTATAAAAACACATTCCTCAGAATGGAAGTCCAGTTTATGTTTATTATATGGTCTAATAAAAGGGTAGCAGGCACACCCAAATACTTTTAGGAAGGTGTAATCAGGAAAAGAGTTATACAGTTTGAAGTATGGACTAGAATTGGAGATGGATTTTGAAGGAGTTCTGTTAGTAAGATGTACAGATGTGGCAAAAGCTGCATCCCAGAACTTTAGAGGTAATGAAGAGTGAGAGAGAAGAGATAGACCTTTTTCAACAATTGTGCGATGCTTTTTTTCCACAACACCATTTTGATGGTGTGTGTGTGGACAAATGACTCTATGAATTATGCCTTTTTCAGTTAGAAGTTTTGTGAAAGGTCTGAATTCTCCTCCCCAGTCAGACTGAAGGGACTTGATTGTTGCAGAGAATTGAGTAAGGACATACTGGGAGAAATTATTAAAGGCAGTAAGTGCATCAGATTTTCTTTTGAGGAAATATATCCATGTGTATTTAGAAAAGGCATCAATGAAGGTTATATAATAGGAATAGCCATCAAAGGAGGGCATGGGAGCTGGTCCCCAGAGATCTGTGAAGATAAGTTCAAATGGTTTGTTATAGATGGCAGTAGAAGTGTAGGAGGGTAACCTGTGAGCTTTACCAATACAGCATGCAGAACAGAAATCATGAACACTTTTATTGATAAAGGAAACATTACATTGTTGAAGTACAAGTTTAAGAGCCTCAAAATGAGGGTGACCAAGCCTAAGATGCCAAAGATTACATAACTGTGAAGGACTAGACACTTTGGAATTATTACATGTAGATAACAATACACTAGACTTATTTGATGATGGACTTGTGTTTGTTGCAGATTGATGAAGACCAATAGCAGGAAAAGACTTGAACCTATAGAGGCCATCCTCTCCCAGAGTACCATGTAAAATGTAATAGAACTTGATTAGAAACCTGAGATTTCACAAAGCATTCATAAGGATGAAACTCAAAAAAGACATTGTTATCTTTTGCAAATTGACTAATACTGACAAGATTTTTAGTAATTGAAGGAACATGAAGAATATTTTTGAGGGAAAGAGAGATAGAGGACTGATAGGGGGAGGGAAAGGAAGTAAAACCAATGGACTTTATATCCAAACCTTGACCGTTTCCCATAAACAGCTTATCAGTTGTGGTGACAGGCTCACTGTGCTGAAGATTGAGAGGGTCTGCAGTGACATGGTGAGTAGCTCCAGAATCAGGAAACCAAACTTGAGTTTGAGCTTGAGGAGGAGGTCCTAAGATGGAGGTGTTTGCACTGGCCCAGGCAGCTGTAGGTTGGTGATGAGCAGGAGATGATGCAGATTGATAATACTGATGTTGTGGTGTGTACTGATATTGTTGTTGCAGATTCTGATTCCGATCAAAATGTTGTGGTGATGTAGGTGAAGGATAAGCAGCCGGAGGTCTTTGAGAATAAGAATTTGTAGGTGAAGGATTAGGAGATGTATAGGGTGGATTGTAGCGGTGGTAGCAAATGAGAGCATGATGACCTGTTTTTCCACATACTTGGCATATGATAGGATTTCGTCCTCCATATCTGCCACCTCTTCCTCGTGTATAGCCTCCACGGCCTCTTCCTCTGTAAGAATTATTACCATTGTTATTATTGAACTGAGCAACCTGTGTTGAAGCATTGGCAGAAACATTTTCATTGACTGAAGGAGTATTTGGAGTAGAGATCTCTAGACGAGCAACATTTGCAGATAGAAGACTTTGCTGAGATGATTCACGAAGCTTCTGAAGTCGTATTTCTTTGGCAGAGAGAAGAGATTCAACTTCAGAGAGAGTTGGTGGATCGAGAATGCTGCGTGAGGATATTGATGAAGCCAGCGACTCATTCCTCAGGTAGGCCTTCGAGAATCACATTGATATGTTCCTTGGATGATATGGGTTCACCAATCGAGAGAAGATTGTCCGCAATTGTTTGAATACGAAAAAGGTATTCAGAGATAGATTTGTCACCTTTCGCTGTGTTATACAGCTCGGATTTGAGTTGCCTAGCCTTCGCAACAATACTCGATCTGAAGAACATGGTGATTTCGCTCCATAATTCATGCGAGTATCTGCAATGTATGACACGAGCATGAAGTGCTTCCGAAAGTGATGCAAGCAACCACGAAAACAACATTTGATCTTGTTGTTCCCAGGTAGAGTACTCCTCGTTCACAATTCCTGCTGCTTCATCTTCGTTATTGAGAAATTGCCGAGGAATTACTGGTTTGACAATGAACTTCAAAAGTTTATGTGCGCGCACCACTGATTCTACATGGTGTTTCCAGAAGATAAAGTTGTTAGCATCGAGTTTGATTGGAAGCGGATGTGCGAAAGTCACCAGTGTCGTGGATTTTGTGGAGGTTGCAGAGTCAGAGGCGGAATCTGAGATCGCCATGGATGGACCGAGCTAATGCTCTGATACCATGATATAGTTTAGAAAGATAGTTAGAAGCTAACAGAATTATCTCTTATTCATAACAGTGTACGGGTACAAGTATTTATAGAGTTGTTAAGTCAACAGACTTCTTAACAACCTGAACACTAGCTGGTAGTATATAATAGACTATATCAACTCAGAACTTCTAGTCTATTACAAAGATATATGTCTAACAAAAGCAAGTACCAAACATGTATCAAGTCAAAGGAAATAGTAAAGTCGTGTATTTGACCTGATTGCGAGCAATTGCTTGAAGCAATCTTTCTTTTTCCTTACACGATGGAAGCGATTCTCGAATACCCATCATTTCTTTCCCTTCGGGTGACTCCTGTATTAATCAGCACAGGCGTTGCTAAGTACAAGAACTGAATGAGCAAAGAATAAGTCATAAGATAAAACAGAAGAGGAATACATAAATATTTATTGAAGGTAACTATTGACTGGTAGGTCCCAAAGGCATTGTTGGACATGGACTAATTTATGCAATTTTAAGGTGCAATTTTATACATCTTTCTGCAAAATATTTTATAAAACGATAAGACCACAATCACCCTGTTGATAAGATAAAGGATCTCGGTGGGGATCGATGTAGGCGGAAGTGGGAAGTTTTTGACCCAATCAAATTTCAAAAGATATACTATTATCCCGTCGATTTAGAGTAATTTGGGTGCAGTCAACTTGAAAGTGTTTATAAAATATCCGCACATAAACAATTTTGTATCCACCTCCGATTAGAACAAGTGAACTGAGTACGTTAGTAGCCCAAATTACCAATGCACTATCCCCAAGCGTACAAAACCATTAAAGCCTTATGAAATTTACCATAGGCATAAAAAATTGCAAGGACAAGCCTGTCTTACACAGAACATCAGAACTTATCATGAATCTATATAATAATTGCTGTCATTAAAGCTCCAAATAAAGAGTGAATAATGTGCGCAATGATGATGAAATTTATCAGAATTTCCAGTTCGAAAAGTCTGTGGCAAGAACCTTTTCACTTGCCACAAACGTCAGATAAGTTCAACATCTAAGGGGGTGAGACCTGCCACGTTCTCTGCAAATTGCGCATGCGCAAGCTTCGCCTCTGAAGAACCTTCTCCATAACCGAGTCATCTAAGAAAGAATCCAGATTTTCATCCATAGTTGCACTTTCAACCTTATCAGTTGTTTCAGTTTCACTGGATATAATATCTGACTTCCCAGAAAGCTGGATTCTGTCCAGATGTTCCTGAAGCAAGCCTTCCACTCTCCTTTGTAAACTTAGTGGTATGACAACCTGGACAAGTGATGAAGTGAATGGTATAAGCTAAACTTCGTTTGAATTCACATAATTTTTAGACCTAATCAAGTTGAAACAATTTAAAACTGAAAGAACTGAGGATTTATATGAATACAGCTGAAAAGAATAATATTACCAAAGCTAAGAAAATGGTTTTAAAAGGCTTTTTGAGGTGTGAGGCTCACCTCAGTGTAAGGCAGTGAAAAAAAGTGTTGGCCTTAAGCGAATGAAAGGTTTAAGCCTCAAACGGTTGAGGCATTTTGTGAGGCTTAAGCCTCATGTTTTTACCTCTCAATTTTTTGTTTTACCTTACGCTGATTAACTTTAAACAAAATTCATATTGAAACTACTATTTCCAATCATTAGTCTCTGAGCCAGAAGCTTTAAAATCTGGTTGGCATGGATCTATGTAAAAGTTCACATAACCTACAGGCTACAACTACTATGCACTCCTCCTGTCCTCCATAAATGTGAACATATCTTGGGAAGGTGGCATGGTACTGAGCTAATATCGTTATTTTTCTCCTTTTCTTTCCAGCAGAATAACTCAAACAATTGCTGCTATTTTTTCTTTTTATATGGAAAATAATAGCAGAAGTAACAGAACTGCTTTAATTTTTTACTTAAATTCCTACTGGATATAAAATTTCAAGGTTCCATCCATTTCTTCTCTGTTTTTTCATTTTAAAAACTTTATCTGATGTGCAATAAATCCTACGTAGTAAATATTTTTCTTTAAAGAGGTGAACTTATGGTAGTGGTTTATGGCACTTATTTATGACATACTACCTCCGTCCCGGTGGACTCTGTCAAGTTCAAAGTAGGTGAGAAATAAGAAAAGTAAAAGTTGTGTGGTTGAGGTTTGTGCAGAGGAGAGAGAAACGAGCAGACCCATAAATTAGTTGCTTTGATAGGAAAGTGGCAAAGTTTATTGGGACAACCAAAAGGGAAAGTTGACAAAGTTCAATGGGACAGAGGGAGTATTAATTAATGGTTGATGATATGTTTTACATTGTTAGTCATTTTGAATTGTAGGAACTGCATAAAGTTTGACTGTTTGAGGTTTACGTCTTGAACCGCCACGAGCCTTAAGCCTCGAATCATAAGTGCAAAATGCCTCAAGGCTTAGAAGTATTTTTTTAAACATCAATAATAAATATAATTGCATAATAAAGTTATAGAGTTCATGAAAAATAACCAAATGCGTGGGCCGATTAGTCTTACACAACTAAAAATAGCCACAGTAACTTAAAATGAACGGCTACTAAACTAGCACCATGCATCAAGATTGACCTTTTCTTTTACATTGCAGACTTCCAGCAAACAGTGAAGAGAAAAATTGAGCTTTCCAATTTTCCAAAATGCAGAAAACTTTTGAGTAAGTAAATGGTCCCTCAAGTCTAACTCAAAGACTACCAGATAAAGAGAAAGCCTTAATTGGCATGATCTGTGAAATAAAGCTGGATCCTAAAAGATTTGCATGACCATTCAATTGGTAAAAATGTGGCTCAACCCTGGACAGCATCACAAGGCTTATGCCCCTGGACAAAATATTGAGGCTTAAGCCTTAAGGCATTTTAGCTTTGATTCGCAGTGAAGCATGCCTTGAGGCATACATCTTGAAGGCCTTTTCAAACCATGTTTGGAAAATATGCATATTCCTGTCTACAGAGAACTGTAATTGAATATTTTGAAAACTTTGTTAGGATTGACAATACAACTGCATTTTCGATATCAATATTTTATGACCAACAAATCTGATTTTCAAATTTTTGTATATCTTTCTTTTTTTCAGAGGTGTCTCCAAGCAATGTGATTTGATCTTCATTCCCTGAAAAGTTCACTTTTACACTCTTCTCAGATATGAGTTAAGTTTACCTCTCTTTGGGGCCGCTTGTCATCAAGATCTGGCCTGTAGTTGGGGAGAGGAATTTTGCTTATGACCACTACCTTACCATAAATTTCACTGAAAAAAGGAAACGGAGTCTATAAGATTCTCCAATTGGAGCAACATTAACAAAAGCAACACAAAATAGAAGGCTAAAAACTTACCTGTGGAGGCCCATCCTTTTAGCAAGGTTGGAGATTTGTTCATAGTCACGTCTATCCCTTTTATCTCTGGATACAACTTCTTGGTCCTCGCTGCCCAAGAGTAAGCTTAGCTTCCATTTCCACTCGTCGATGTTGGCCACGGATGATGATGCCTGCAGTTTATTCTCGCTTATGTAATCATATATCTTCATAATTCTGATCTACACAACTCTAAAAATATTTTCTTTGTTGTGTCTTTTAGTATTAACACTAAACATATTGCTAACTTCATTCATTTGTTTGAAAATGTCAGTATCCAACTTTATAATAATGATGATGACGATGATGACAAACACTTTTGCCAAACAACAATGCCTAATTCATTCCTAGTAAAAGTAAGTTATTGAATGAAAAATATGCACAAAAGTTACTTAAATGCTGCAGAGAAATATTTTTCCTACGGTTACCAAATTCAGAACTTCAAGATTACATAAAAGCTGTTATCTTTCTACTAATAAAACAAGAAAATGTAAAAGAGTGAAAGTTTGACGAATTGGTATTAACCGGATGAGTCTCAAAGTCGCATTCGTATTCATCGTCGGAGAACTGCTCAAAAGCGTAGCTACTAAATTGGCGTTCCCAATGCCAGGATACGGCCAAATGGAAGCCGCTTAAGTTTACGCTGTCGCCTGAAAGTGAGGCTCGCCGGCAGACACGTGAACCAACTACTCGGAATTCGTGGGTAGCAGCGTACGGCAAAATAGCTGAGAACAGTGAAGATGAGGTTCTTCTGGTGCATGCCAAGACAAACCCTATCCTCGAATGCATTGCTTATGCTCTCATAGCGGGGATTTTCTCTAACGAGTATGGAGATTCTGAGTAACTCACTGAGTGAGCAACAAGCTGTAAACTTTGATCACCAGTTGATGGGACTATGGGAGTGTTCCTAGTAGTTGATAAAACAATTTGTTCCGAGTATTTGACTGAGGTAGTGGTAGGCACTCTCCTTAAGCTCTCCTTCAAAACGGGGTTTCTTAACGGTTTAAATAGAAAAATAGGGTGAAATTTGAGTTGGATTGGGATTTGAGGAGGCAGGCACGGTGCCAGGCACGATCGTGCCTTCGATCATGCCTTCGGAGCAAAAACGCGCATTTTGGGCACACAAGATCGTGGCTCCATCCAGGCACGATCGTGCCTGGCTGGCAGTAATTTTCTCTTCAAGCACGATCGTGCCTAACTTTGAGGGCACGATCGTGTCTAACTTTGAGGGCACGATCGTGTCTAATTAACTTCCGAATTTGACGACGATTCCTTCAAGAAAGTTGTAGATAGTGAAGTCATCTATCCACCACAACTTGCTGAATGGGATTTGAATAATCCAATCAAGAGATATGATCAAAACGGTGGAAGATCACATTCTGAAATCGCAACAGGGATCATCTGACTTCATCGTCTGTTTTAACCTTGCTCCTCTCAGATTCTCAGAATGATGTCTTCTTATGATTTGTGGATCTTGAAGTTGGCTTTCATGTGAAACTTGAATCGTGTCCTTTGGATTCTTCTACAAAGAGATATGCTTGAATGATTGACAGAAGGTCATCCTGATCGTCGTTTTCAAGCTCTATTCGTCTTCTTTTGATCCCGTAGCCAATCCTAGAGCTCGTTTGTCATCAAATCTTCATCGTGAACCTTCCGGTGACCTCCAAATCTCTAAATCCACCCTCGAATGCATCTCGAATCACCCCGATTGCTCCTCAAGTGCCGGTGCCGAACTCTAAATTTCTGACTTTGACTCCAAATGACACAAAACTCGAACCAACGCCTGGTAACGTAACTTGAGCTAAAATTGAGACTTGTAACACCTTAAAGCTAGGGAAAACATCAAAAGCCGATCCCAACACGCATCAAATGCGTGTCTAAATACGGACTTATCATCCTTCGAGTAGGATGCATCTCACACTATATGCGTCTTTGAAGCACTTTAGGGTCTGCCGCCTCGCACACCTCTGGAATCTCCATCGCCTCTCCAGTGTCAGCCACCATCACCTCTTCACGGTCCGCCACTAGATCATCTTTACTTTTTATGACAATAAGGGAGTGTTTGCAATAACTTAAAAAATCACTTCTCGGCTTTTTGCTTAAAAAACTAAAATTAGTGTCTTCAAGTGACAATTTCTACTTTAAAAAGTGTTTCTCGACTTTTTGTGTGAAAAGTGTTTTATACTTTTTCTATTACACAAAAATACTTTTTTTATTAAACACCACAAACTGTTACTTTTCAAAATCACCGTTTTCTCAAACACTATCAACTTTTACCACTAACGTCTTTTTCCAAAATCACTTCCAAAAGTGCTATTTTTAATAACAAAAGAAGTTGCAAACACCCCCTAAGCTCATCATGGTTAGGGACAATAACCTCTCCACTGTTCTCCGCCATAACCTCTGTCGGATAATCACAATTGTCCTCTGTAAGATCGTCTTCACTATCAGGAATGATCAACGGGTCATCATCTTCCAAAGAGTATGGATCCATGCAAGTTCGATGCAAGGTCTGCGGTTGAAGGGGTGAGTTATAGAGTTAAGGTCTAGATCCAAATCGCTCGCTTCACATATGAGAGGTTAATAATGAAGGTTGTGAGAGAGGGAGGCGGAAAGCTGGGGGTAGATGGATGACAGAGGGGAAGAGGATTGGAGTAAACAAAAGAGGGAGATTAATGAAGTAAATGAGGAGTAAATGAGACAGAGGGAGATAGATGGAGTAAATGAGAGAGTGAGACAAATGGGGTAACGCGAGAGATGATTGAATTAAAAGGAAGGCTAAAGTCGAGTTTTCATGATATGCTTCTTTCTATATTTAGTATGAGGGGAGATTTTTTTTGGACGACCCAAAAAAGAAAGTTTGAAGAATTTTTTGGGATAGAGAGAGTAATATACAACAAGACCAAGGAACTCCTCGATTATAACTCACACTATATTGATAGATTATTATTTACGTATATGTATATCCGTAAAATAATTTTTCAAAAGATGTATATTTATATAATTAGCAGGTAGGGTCGGGGCGGGCCGCCCTGCTCCAAACATCTCGAGGCAGGGCGGGTCTCTATGGGCCATTTTTTTTTACATTTCGAGTTGTTTAAATATGAAAGAGTCAAATAGTTGTAACATAGTGACTAAAAGCATATTTTGAGAGAATTTTTTAAATTGTTCATACAAAGTGAAGTATATTTAATATTTCAGTTGTTCGGTTAAGAGAATATGAGTTTTTTGTGGAACCATAAAAGTACAACGAAACATATACTTCCTCCGTCCTATTGGAATTTGTCAACTTTCATTTTTTGGTTGTTTCAAAAACTTTGTCACTCTCTCTCCTCTTCACAAACCTCAACCGGACAATTTTTACTATTCTTATTTCTCACATTATTCAAAGAGTGCAAAGTCAATTGAGACGAATGTAGAGTCTGCTTGGTAAAACTGAAATCGGCTGAATCGGCTAATTTTGCCGAAATGTATGAAGTTTTGGCTGAAGTGACTGTATTGACTGATTCTGCTCATTTATGAAAAATCATATTCAAAAATATTTTGTTAATAAAACAAAGAAAAAATTATATGAAAAATAGTTAAAATGGCCATCTGAGAAATTTTAGTCAATACAATCAGAAAAGTAACTCCAACATTACCTTTCCTTCTTATTACACAATTCAATGCGCAAAATAAAAAATATGTATTTGATTAAAAAGTTGGTTAATAAGTCTAATGAACCGAAAAACAGAGTCACCAAACGTAGTATTTATATTGATCGGTTAAAATCAGCACGACTTTAAAAAAAACAGTACAATTAGCTTAAAAAACTTTGTTTTTTCGATTTTTTAACTTTTCAATATTTCATTTTTTTTTAGACTTTTTGATGCCAATTGCCAACCCCTAAATATATACTTTTCAATATTTCATTTTTTAGACTTTTTGATGCCAATTACCAACCCCTAAATATATAGGACTTAGATCATCTTCAATGCTACAATGTTCACGTGCACATGTGGCAAGAGAGGTAGCCACATATATATTAACAAATAAATTATCTCTCTACTTATTTGAATGATTTTGTACAATTGTGGTAAATTTTTCTCTGCAATGTTAACAACAATGTCAAAATTCAAACGATCTTCTTGACATTGTGGAGAAAAACTTACCAGAATTTTATAAAATCATTCAAATAAGTAGAGATACTTTATTTGCTAATGTTTGTGTGACTATTTCACGTACCATACCTTCCATGGAAGATGCTCTTAAATTACTTGAAAGAAACCCATGATAGTTGAGGTCAAACTGCCAAAAGTCCAAAACCCCACCAAAAATTAAGCAAACAACAGAGAAAAAGAGCATCGTATGAATCGCCTGCTCTTCGGAGCTTTCGATGTCAGCATAAAACTTGAAAACACAATCTTCTTTGTTCAAATAAACAAATCTGCGTGCTTTAGGAGCTACAGTTCTTTGTTTTCTAAAAGGAGTATGGCTACCTTCGCTGCAGGATCCGCCGTCATTTCCTTCGGAGCCACCGGAGTTTCCGAGAAATCTTCGCTCCACGGCCACCGGAAGTTCTCTCCGTTGCGGCAACCTTGCTCGCCGCTCAAACTCCAATGTGGATCTGGGTTTACATCAAAATGCGGATCCAAAAGCTCTTTTCCTCGTTATGGTAAATTTACTAACTTCCACGTTATACCACAAATGCAGAAGTGTAAATACAATATTTGTTATCTCAACTGCATATTGATCGAGTTGGTTCAGAAAGTGATCTAGGTATCAATATAGAATATTTGGACATACTATCTATAAAGGAACCGTATGGCCTCGCTCCATTTTCCCAAAGGAAATTTTTGTCCAAAAACGCTTCTATTTTATTGTGCATGGACGCAGAGGCTGATCATATTTTATCTGTAGAGGATTCTTTTATTTTCTATGCAAACGTCTTCTTCTTTTAAATTCTGAGTAGATAAGTTGATTTTCCTGAACAATTGTACTGATAGAACAACTTGTTTTTCAGCCATCAAATGGAGTGGTTGTTTGATTTGCGCTCCAATATATATAGTTCAGAAATTTCCCTAATTAGGAGTATAAACAATGTGATATCCAAAATAGTTGGACCATGTTTTCCCCCTAAGTTGGAGTTATTAAGGTCATTTTTGGAAAATACTACCAATTATGGCATTAATCCTGACATACTAATGCCTGTTAATGCCAAAATACGGCAGTATGATTTCTGATGGCAGCAACTTACCCCTATTTAGAGAAAAATACTCCTATTTTAGAAATTAGAATAGCCCATTGATTGTATTCATACTTTGGGAAATTTACCTATATAGTTTATTATGTACATGTTTTTTTTGCCAGATGGAGTAATATTTATTACGGAGTAATTATTATCCTTATTTGTTGTGTTTTTGAACTTTGAAGTTTGTTTATATTCTTCTGCAGTGCCGCTTAGAAATGCCAATCTTATACTTGTAAATAATCAGTCATCTGATTTTTATTTCACTTTCGATATGTATTCTTGGTTTCAATGGTTTGTGTAGATGTAAAAGCCCAGGTTGCTGCAGTAGAACAGGCTGCTGAAGTAATTCCAAAGGTAGAAGCTCCTGTAGTTGTTGTCACTGGAGCCTCTAGAGGAATTGGCAAAGCCATTGCCCTTGCTTTAGGGAAAGCGGGATGTAAGGTATTTTTTTGGAAATGATCTCATCCTTCCATAATTGAGATTTAAATTTCAGTAATGCTAATATAATGTTAGTACTGTTTTAGGAATTCATTTTGCTATCTGAGAATGATTGACATGTATTCTGTGTTGTAGGTTTTGGTTAATTATGCAAGGTCCTCAAAAGAGGCCGAAGAAGTGTGCAAAGAGGTAAGTAGCGGCTTCTAAATCAAATTATCAAAAACATTTTCATTTCTGTAAATTCAGTAATAACATGGTCCACCTTATTCGATGTTGTTATATTCTGACTAAGTTCTGCAAACGTCCCTTCGCAACATTTGCAACACTTTGTATTCTGACTGT